AATGGAGCAGAAAAGTCCACTGGCTGTTAGTCCATTTTCCGCACATCCACTTCGGCAGCAACTATCGCTGTGCCGATAAGAAAATTCAAACCATCCATGAGTTGATTTATTTCCACAGAGCACTCTCTTTTTCCTCACACCAACCCTCGCGCGCGCGCGGCGAACTTATTGCTGGGGTAGTTTTGTGAATTCTGCGGAATTTCCGCCCCCCCAAGGCGACAGCCATTCGACTATTCAACACATCACACTAAATATGTCTCTGGCGGAATATTTCACATGTGAATTTTTGCCATCGCCCCATTGTTGAGGCTCTTCGATGGTATCGTGGAGCTAAAATTTCTTTCCGCCTCTCCAGCAGCAAATAATTTGCTGGCAAGTCGAGATGAGTGGCAAATGCTGGAGAAAATCCTCTTGATGAGGGAGAGTCACTTTTACACTCTTTCTTAATTCGATTTGCCACAGAGAGTACTTGATGGTGTGAAAAAATTATACTTTATTTGCACTTTTCCTCCCCATTCGATGTGTGTGTCTGTTTTCTCTTTGGGGGTTTTCTGCACTCCCCAACGTCAGAATGCAGTCAAACGCCACGGAATATTTACCATCAGCCCCTCATAAAGTTGAACATCTTTACGACAACATCCAACACTACACAAGGAGCCTCTCTCTCTCCATCCTTGTCGCATTGCGAGAGAGTGTGTAAATAAAAAATACTCCCCACAACCCCAACGCCGCCCTTTCTTGACGATGATCAATCTGGAGCTTTATCGCAATTCGTGAGATTTATCTCAGCCCCTCAGACAAATTTCACCACCGAAAGGTTGACGTAAAAAGGCATTTAAATATTTGATTATTGCCTCCAATGTGAAATGCTCTGCCTTTTATCACGAGACACTGACATTCAAAGGCTTCTGCCATGCTTTTTTACACCGCGAAAACTTTTGCCCAGATAAAAGCTCTCCTCATTAATGCATCACAATTAATTCCTGATTGTGGTGAATTGCGTGGGAAGCGGAAAAAAAGCGACTCATTTGGCGGCGCTTGATGATGAAGGCGAAGAAAGGCCCTAATCATTTTTCACTCATCGTGCTTTAAAAGCTCCACAGCAGCCCTTGACTATGGGCATGGCGTTAATTAACGACACCCAATGAAATAATAATTTGGGACAATAATGCACGATTGTTAAAAGTGTAATTAAAAATTCAGCTTCCTTCATTATAATGTTGGCGGGGGTTGAAAAGTGGCTTTTAAATCAATTTCCAACAGACGCGCTAAAAATAACACAATCACGCTGATTTTTCTCTTTTTTTTTTCCTGGGTAATAAAACATTTATATATAATACAAAGTCAATTGCAAAAGCTCTAAATTCATAACTGCATATGTATTACACGGAGTTTATTTCTCGTAATTCGTGGCACAGTCAATAAAAATCAGTGTGTGAATAATTGAGAAACTCAATTTACTCTCTGAAGTTTTTTTCCGCGGGAAAAATGACCCCGCTTTTCGCCACTCCTCTTGTCCCAGCATTCAAAACTGAGCGCCATTTCGTTTGTTAATATCCGTGAAAGCCTTCATAGGCCCTCTGAGTCATTTAATAATTTAATGAAGTGAGGAAAGACATTTGCCATGAGTTTATTTCGTCTGTATTGCCTCTGGGCTCGTGTTAGTTGCTCAATAATGGAGAAAATCCTCTCGCCCTTGTGGGGAAAAACCACCCCTTGGACCGTCTCTATGCATCCCACCCTCCGTGGCGTAATCGTTCATAAATTATTCGCCATGCGGTGTTGAGCTTTACTTGTCTTAAGCTCTCTCTTTCTCTCTGTCTTGCAAAGAATCCAAAGTGGGCGAATTTCTTCCAAAAACCCTGTAAATTTTCATCATATGACTTGTGGTTTCATATTAACCAAAATTGCTGTCTCAATTAATTCGCGCAGGAGGAGAAGAAAAGTGATATTTGCGTATTTTCGCATTTAGAAGATTTTGAAATAGTGTAAAATTTCCACTCTGACGTGTGTTCTTCTCCAAAAAGGTACTTGCATTATCACATGACACAGTGGAGAAACTTTTCTCATAACCGTACGGAAAAGTTCAACGATTTTCCAGGTACTCACGTGGAAAAATAGGTTATATATTCAACTTTTGCAAATCATCACTTTACAATGACTTTTCGATTTTACAAGAATAGTTTTTGGTGAATGAAATTCATCACAGTAAACATTAGTGGAATTATGGTTTAACAGTAGCAGACCAACTTCAACCATATATAGTGAACTTTCCTCCCCCAGGATGGATTATGAAAGCTCTCAGCCCGTTTTACAAATTTAATAAGCTCAACATTGTTAAATTTCGGGTGCAACAGACAGATTCCTGGGTTGAAGAGTCTGCAAACTCTATGGCTTCTCCCGAATCTCATAAGTGAATTATGTTGGGAATTCATGCAACGCTAATTGTGAAGCTTAGGCGGGGAAAGTGTGAAAATCTACTGTTGCAAAGTGATTCGATTAGAGAGACTGAAAATGAGAGAATAAATTAATAAAGGGCTCTCTTTACTTGCTAATCACGCCGAAAATGCCAAAGCTCGCGCCACTGACGGCCAATCCGACAATCGACGCGCCAGACAAAAGAGGTGTGCAGCAAAAGCCAATGAAAGCTCGGATGAAAAACTCTTCTGAGCACTCACGGTGCGAGAATACTACTTGAAATGCATTGTTTCGTGGCCTGAGTTGGGCAACAAGTTAAAGTTTCAGCATTTCACTGTTGCTGCCACAACCAAGGGGGAGATAATACGGCTAAACTCTGTACACTCAACTGTGAAGGATCACAGACACGTCCAGACACTTTGGCAGTAGTTTAAACATGTGTTTTTCTTATTTTTCTCTCCTTATTCGGAATTTTATACATTTTTCCAACCGCCTAAAGTAACATAACCTCAAATTTAGGAGTTTTTGCCTTAAAAAGACGCAATTTTTTACTTGTTTGACCCTGAAATCTTACAGAGAAACAGTGTATTGGGAATATTTGAAGTTTTCAGTTGATATTTTGATGGGAATAATTTTTTAAGCGCTCTTTTGAATGCACTTTGGAACATAACCTAGAAATTATTCTGTTATAAATCGAAAATGTGTCGAAATTTGCAATTCTGGAGAAGAAATTCAATCCAATAGCTCTTGAAATAGACAATTTTGTATCCCGAAACAGTATTTTTGAGGTTATTTAGTGGCAAAGCTTGTTCTAAATTAATCACATAACCTAGAAAGATGCCAAGAAAAATTCTTTTTCTCAAATTATTGCATTAATTCCTCTTGAAAGTGACTTTTTAATGCACTTTTAAATACTTCCACTGAACTATTCGCCATTTTTGACCTTATTATCTCCCCCTTGACTGCAACTATGCGCCAAGGGAGTTATTTGAAGTGCGGGGGAAGCTTTCAAAATGCTTCTGCTTCCTGGGGGATTCTCAGCTTTTTCTCCTCTGTGTGCATATGCAAGATATCGCATTAAACTCTTTGCAATTTTATCGTTTTAGCAATTTTAATTATACTCATCGTGAAATGAAGCAAATTTCACGAAAAGAAATTTGTGTATAGTTTCTCCATTGGGAGAAGATACTTGGCAAACTTACCGGGAGAGCTTCTTGAGAAACGATATGAATTTTTTTTTGGTGTAACTTTTGAGCTTTTACACTTGTAGCGAAGCAACCAATCTCTCTCATCGTCCTTTTCAGGCACTGCCAAGGAGTTTCACATCCCTGTAGTCGATCGTGCTCCTTCGCATTTACCTTATTGTGGGTGATACTGCACGAATAATATAAATTTCTTTTGTTACCGCATATTTACCATCATAAATAACCCCATTCCGCATCCCGCCACAGTATTTGCTTTTCAATGTGCCGCAGGGGCTGTTGACGGTGGTTAGTAATGGTTCTCCCTCCCCCCCATTGGAAGCCCCAGCAGAAAATGGGGCCAGAGCAACACAATGACCGACAAACTCTTGGGCATCACGAGATCGCCGTATAAAATTTACATCTGTGCTGGGCGAAATGTAATTTATGGCAATGTAAAAAGATTTACAATCCACTTAATTATATGTTATTGAGGGTGGAGGGGGGGTGGCATTCTCATCTCACGGGATGGGCGGATGTTTTTGGCAGCCAATCTCTCTCTCTGGGGAGCAAAACATCCGCCCTTGTTTTTCTTCGTCCCCAACTGGCGTGCAGCGCAATTGACTTAATTGAAGTGCAAACACCGGGAAAGCATATCGAAATGCTGCCAAACACATGGATTTTAGACAAGGAGTCCTTGATTTTAATTGAGTTACAAGTCATGTGCTGGGAAAATTCTCCGAATTCTCTCCCATGGCCAATATTGACATCCACTCGATGTACTTCTTATGTGAATTTCGCCAACTCTTCTCCCACTTTGTTTATCAAAGCCACATCCGATATATCGTTTGCCCCCACCCCCATTCAATTTGGACCAATTTCAAATTTCACCAAGTGTACTTCGGATGGGCAATTCAATTAAACTTTGTGTGTGTGTGTCACACAGTTCTCATTAGGCGCTCATTGAAGTCAATGGTCACGAAATTGGTGTTTGCGTCCGTCAAAGAAGTGGCGCTCTGAGAGTCCTTCAGCTGTGAATTACAACTCTGCGGGGGTGGAGTGGGTGCTCTTTTTACGCCACAACGTGATATATACCAAACTCGAGACACTCATCTCTGAGTCAGATGGACGACTTTTTTTCTCGGACATAAAACCCCTGAAATCAGTGCTCTAAGAGCTACCATAAATCCTCTGAGAATTCGCCCCAATCGCGATTAGTTGGCGCTGGAGTTTTCCACCCCCCCCCCCCTCGAGAAAAGTGCCCCCGAACAGAGTGAAACATTAATCAGATATGTGACAAATATTGCCTGGAATATCTCTCTATTATCACACTCAATATTTGAAGCAAAATATGTACATATTTGCGTGGCATGAAACCCATCATTGTCACCTCAATTTCACCTGAGAGTCTTCGACAGAAGGAGCCGTATTGATTGTGGGCCAGGTTTGTCGATGTGCCTGCAGGGTGGAACCGCAGACAGAAGACATTGCGACCCCTTCTCGCCCAGGGTAAACAAATCGAGGGGGCGCTGAAGGGCTAAACAGTGTGGAAATTGTGATGGAAAACCTACAGCAATTTTCATGTATTGCGGCTACACAATATTTAGATAACATGAGAGAACCGATGTTTCGCTTTAATTTTCCATTTTCATTCGACAAACTCATTTCCAAGGGGGAGATAAGCTTTTTTTTCGATTTATTTCAGGCTCAATAACAGCTTTAAATAAGATTCTTGCTTTTACAATTACATTTGCGTACTAAAATTAAATATAACCTCAAGAT